ATACAAGTAATTTACAGACAGATAAAGTAATGAAACGTGATCGTGGGCGTGAGTGATCAGCAGTACAATAGTTTAGAAGAATGTCTGCAGAAGAAGCCATTTTGTAGATAGTTTTCCCGCGTAAATACAACTCGCCACAGATGCACAAATGTTGCATGGTGCGCAGATGCAGTAGGTTGACTAGCGCGTCTATACGTCAATGTCACAAAGATTAGGTTCTGGCCTCTGCCTTCGTTTCAGGTTGCCTTAGATAAAGAAACGTGATTATTGACTTTATATTTTTTAATTAATGATGTTTCAAACGATAGTTAACACTACGCTAACATCCTCCACTGGTGCCCCGCTAGCGTTAACCTTTAGCCAAAATATATAATGTTTTTAGTACAGAAAATTTACTTATATCTACAGCCTCGTATTTCAAAGACGATGAAAAATACAATATTGTAATAAAACTTCTTTATTTCAAACTTCATTCTGTTTTAACAAGTTTGAATGGCTAATACGGAATCCATAATTTAGGCAAATATTTATAATACAATTGTACTGTAGATTGTAATACAAATTTCCTCCCTCAATAGGGGTCGCCCACTAGAAGCTTTTCACGTAATTAAATAATAGCTGACTATCTCTAAATACTATAGGACAAAATTTATGTTTTCCGTCTGTTAGTCTTAGCTACTTATTTTAAATAACATTCTAGGTAGACTTTGAGTGCGTAGCGTAGATGCTAGAGTGCTCGCTTGGTATGCGAGAGGTAACAGGATCATTTCCCGGCGCCTCCAAAAGTATTCTGTCGGAGTTGGGGTAGAATACACGTGCGAAACCCCTGGCTCCGTAGGCACTCGTAGATACACGATGTGTGGTGGGTAAAAATACTACAAAACGCTTTGTCCACACCAAAAATATTGTCCAAATTCGAGATTAACGTATTAGCACGCTGTTAACGGCGGTTGATTGCGATTGTGCAAATCAGACAGTTAACTAGATGGACAAATTGCGCTCGCGCTGGCGCGACTAGACGCTACTGTAAGGGTACATACTCACCCGTTAAATTAAAAATATACATACCCTGGCTGCAAATGTAACAGACCAGAGAAATAACAACATATATAAAATTATTAATAAGAAAATGTTTTAAAGGGCGTAACCAATGAGAATGAACATTTAATCTTAAAAAAAAAAATCTTGAAGCCGCTAAAATGGACAATGAAACTTTAGGGAATCAAACATACTTTAAAAATAAATTTTTATATCTTAACTGAGAAAAGTTTGATTCCGCAACAAAATTTTCATTCTTTATTCACTCCCAGATTATCTCGTATGCCAGAAAAAGCAAACAAAGTCGCGGATAATAGCTCGTTCAACAATACAAGACGTCGACCACAACGGGGCGTGGCACCTACGAAATTTTCACACAATTAAATTAATTAATACAGACGCAACGATCAAAGAACTGCTCTGAAACAATATCGGTTTGGGCAAATCTGCCTTTGTATCGTTTCTAATAAATTTTCGAATGTTTCCACATTCATTTGGAATATTGTTGTTGGTTTCCTGTTTTAATATCTCGTGTTGTGGCTATTTTGTTTCTTTAGTACCGTGATTGGAATTAAAAAGTTATTTTGCCGTCACGGATCTAAAATACGAGATAGAACCTTAATGGTCCGTGGGATCCTAGCGCTATAAGACTTTTCAAAGAAACGAAAAGGTTAGTCGACATCACAGAAGACCGAAGAGCTGACAGCTACCTTGGACAAAGAATTAGTCTAGCTATTCAAAGAGGGAACGCTGCCAGTATCTTCGGAACGTTGCGTAAAGGGACCCCTTTTAATAATATATTTTAGTCATCATATTATATTTTTTTTTAAGCTTTTTAATTTTAGGTTCTTAGTTGTACAATTAGGTTATGTAAATACTAGTAATAAATACGAATTTACTTTGCAAGTGTTCTAAATATAGTAAACCACAATAAAATTTTATTAATACCTTAATGTACGTTAAAAGTTGTAAAGCTGCCTGAAAATCATATTTATGTACATATTTTCAATCATTTGAAGATATATTAAAAAATTATATTATAGTAAAAAGAATAGAATAATAATCCTGTATAATTCACACAGCGCCATCTAGTTCTAAACTAAGCAGAGCTTGTGTTACGGATACTAGAAAATTAATGCTAAAACATATGTAAATACATTTTTTTATACACCAAGATCGATACAAACTGTCATACTCATGAATATAAATGTTTGTATCATGCGAGAAATCCAACTTGTGACCATCGGAAAGTAAGGCGGTGTGCTATTCCGCTAGACCACTTAGGCTTAGATAGTAAACTTTAATATCGCTTTTCTCAAAGAACTGTATGGAATGTAACATTTAACAATATTATGATTTGTCAAACTGATGTCATACTTTCGTATTTTGTAATTTCCCTGCCATATCTTATTCTCCAATCTGAAACTCAGCTTATAAAGCAAACTGTTCGGAGGTGGTGTCATGCTGTCGTACCCTGTAATTTCCCTGCTATATATTATTCTCCAATCTATGACAGAGCTTACAAAGCAAGCTGTTCTACGGAGGTGTCACTATTTCGTACTCTGTAATTTCTATGTCGTACCTTACCTTCTAAACCAACATACAGCTATCAAAGAAATCTCGGTGATTGAAACAGGTGAGGCCTCTTCCTTCAATTCTGTTTCCTCACAGAAGCCTTGAAACCTACCTGGAAATCTATATTCCAACACAGAAAACTTTATATAAAGTCTATCTAGGTAACTTAAGGTTATTGACCTATTTACGTGATTGTGGCAACCCTGAACAAGACTTAATATTATTATGCACAGTAATGGCAACATCAATTTATACGTCTAGGTCATATAGCGACATATATATATATATCTGGCACAGCGCCTCAGCTCCGCAGCCAAGCAAAAGGGGACCATAATGTATTAATAAATTGTTATTACTTTGACGACCTTGCTGGTGTAGCTGTTTAACATACTGCCTCATATTCCAATGGTTGCGGGTTCGATGGCCGTACTATGTAACTATTTTGTATTCATGTCTGTCTGTTGCCTTTTAAGCGGGGTGTTTCCCAGTGCATTATTTTGTTTGTTCATCGAAGAATACGACCTTCGGAGAAGAATATGATATGTATCTGTTTTTTAATTTGTATTGAAATAGTAATTCGTTTTTAGAAGCAAGATATCTAAGCATAAGCATAGAAGCAATAGATCTAGAAGCAAATACATAATATCTGGTATCGATATTTCCGTTCTAAAATGATTTTTATTTATCTAAAAATATATTATAATATCAATACTTGAAAAACCTTGTAACCCTTTTACGAAAATTGCGTGGACCGAAGAATATGAAATTTCGTACACTTATAGTTTATATAAAGTATGAGTGGAGAATGATAATGTTTTATTAATATTACTAGTTACTCGCCCCGGCTTCACACGGGTGTACATGTATTATACATATAAACCATCCTCTTTTTTTTTTTTATTGGATTGTTTGGGCTATTGTCAGATGTGTAGCACCTGTAGCACTGCGACCTACATAGATCTATTGTGCTCGCCCTTTTCAGAGTTCGCTACCTAGACCCGTCAGGGACAAGTATTGAAGGATATTCTTAGGAGCGATCGTTTTTATCTCCTCGGGAAAGAGTGTAAACTTTCCAAAGGAGATATTTCGTTTATGCATGAGTGGGCTACAACCACATAGGATGTGAAGCGGCGTTTCCTCTTCAGTTTGGTAGAATCTGCAGATACTTGTCGTGCATAGGCCTAGTTTAGCCATATGCTTGTTTAATTTGCAGTGTCCTGTGAGGGCCCTAGTCATCATGCATATGTTGTTTTTACTCATTAGCAGTCTATTGGAGTATTTGTTCGAGAAGCCCGATATTAGGTCTTTTGAATGTGTTAATCCTGGCATTTCTTGCCAGTGATTCAGTGCTTCTCGTTTGGTTATTAATTTGAGATGTCCCAGTTTTAGGCAACGAGGCACACCACAGAAGGGTTCGGGGCCCAGTTGGACGGTTTTTGCCCCTAACTTTGCCAGATAGTCGGCATTCTCATTGCCTTCAATATTTGAATGCCCGGGGACCCATCTCAGTATAATATTATTTCTGCTTCCTACTTCATTTAGTAGCAGGATACAGTTTCTAATAAGTTTAGAACGGATTTCGTACGAGTTAAGTGCTAGTAGAGCAGCTTGACTGTCCGAATAAATGTATATGTTCTGATTGATGTAGTTGAGGCTTAGGATTACTTCCAGACATCTAATTAAGGTGTAAGTTTCTGTCTGAAAGATTGAGGCGTATTTTTTTAACCTTCCTCTTGTATCACTCTATCTATTAAAAAAACTGCTTCAAAATCCGTTGCATAGTATTAAAGATTTAAGCGTACATAGGATCGGTCAGAGAGCGACAGCGACTTTCTTTTATACTATGTAATGATAATATACACAAAAAATACATGAAATCAATAAAAAATATTACACGCACTACTGTTTATTGTTTATTGTTAAAGTCCGTATTCAAATTGAGAACAGATTAATATTATTTGTCTTTAGTATTATTTCTTATAGTCTTATATGACACTGTGCGACCACTAGTATATATATTGTAGACTAGCTGTTCCCGAGATTCGTCCGCGTGGAATTTAACTTTATATTTCTAAAATATTTTTTTTCTAGAATAAAATTAGCCTAAGTTACTCCTTATTACATCAGGTACTTGCAAAAAAAAGTCCCGTCAAAGTCGGTCCAGCCATTTCTGAGATTAGCCGGAACAAACAGACCGACAGACAGACAGACAAAAATTGTAAAAAATGTTATTTTGGTATGTATGTACCACATTCATATTCATATACATGTACTAAAACATGGTTATTTCAATATTACAAACAGACACTCCTATTTTATTTATATGTATAGATATAGAAGTACAGATTTCAAACATTATTTTAATTATTATATTTTTGCTTTTACAGATAACAGCAGCCTTATTAGGTAAGTTCCATATATTTCAATAGATAATAATAAACTTTGTTTGGTATCAACGTAAAAGTTGCGCGGAAGTTTTTTAATTTTATCCGATCGATGATCGAAGCTTTTTTGTGGGATGAGAGGGTAATTTTCCACACGGTTTAGGAAAGGGTGAAAAATATTGGTTGTGTAACAGCACAAATTGGTATGGAGTCGTGATATCTTTATTTTTACTATCTTTTTTAATTATTTTTTTAAACATCATGTATAATATATGAGTGTATATAAATTAATTTATTACTATTGTTCTATAATCATAAATTATTTTTTATTATTGTTAATATTATTTTCCTACTTCGTTATACTGTAATTCTCATATGTTATTTGCATATCACTTTATATAATAATAATATAAATGTAAAAGAGCAACACGCAAGTTTCTTGCGCATTCTTCTTGTGATAGACTTATCTTTGAATGAGTGGTAGAATTAAAAAGTAATGTGCTGTGAGAAATAGTAGAAGTGAAACTTCAACAGAAAAAATAATTAAATACAAGCCGCCGCGCCGAGACTCTATGCATCTGCTGTTATCTTCTCTCTGCTGTCACCAGACTTTCTCTTTCTCACACAACGCGAGGATAGCGTAGTGTGATATGTCTATCCCCAACTGTAACGCTTTTTCGCGACCAAAATCTCCTAATACACTTCTATATAGAAGTGTCATTTAATTTTCGTGACTGAAAAATTCTAAGACTCTATGACTTCAATAATAATCCCAGATTTTACAGGTAAATTTTGTAAAGAGTCAACTGCGTGGGTTCCTATGTCTTAATTATTTCAGCGAGTCGCAAAGTTTCTTTGCAAACTGTGACTTGATCTTGAGGCTGAGATTTAGCAGTGAAATTATAGGGTATACAGTAATAACGAGTTAGTTCTTAGGAACGAATGGATAGAAATTTATATATTTATTTATTTATTGGCATACGAAACAGATTACAATCAATGCAATAATATAACTATGAGCGTGTAGTTCGGTACAAAACTGGATTGTAATCCAACACTATGTATGCCTAAAAGCTAAATTATATAGACGCATTCAATATACGCTAGATAAGGTTATATAATTATAAGTAAACTAAATAGAAAATAATATATAACTGCGTAATGCTATGAATAATTAAGAAATAATCAAACAAAATTCAAGAAAGACAAGAAGAAGTGATGTCTGTGGTGCTGATCATGGATATAAGCAATAGCTACCGCTTAACATCAGACGGGCCGTCAGCTTGTTTGCTATTGCAATTACTTAAAAATGTACCAAACTAATCGGCCGACTTGTCGAATGCTAAATCGTGTAACATGTAAAAGGTTATACATTGCAGCTTTAACTTTGTTCAGACATTATTAAGGAGATATTTGTGTGACAATAATTGTTTCCCATTGCAATTAGATAAAAAGATTTCGAACAGATCGGCAGACTAATCAAGTGCCAAATCGTGTCTCATGTTAACGGTTTAAAAATATACCCGACAGATCGGTTCACTAATCGAGTGCTAAATCGTGTCACAGGTAAACGGTTAAAAATATCCCAACAGATCGACTCACAAATCGAGTGACAAATCGTGTCACATGTAAGCGGTTTTCAGAACCGATAATACTTATACAGTAAATGAACGTATAAATAGACCAATATAATTATTTTATTTGTTTATATGGAAAACAGGATTTGTGCCGTGATCGCTGGCGTTAATTACTGTATACAAAATTAAGCTTTAATTTGTTCAGTCATTATTAAGGAGACGCGTGTGTGACAAATAAACATATACGTTATACAATTTGTTAATTATAACGAATAAATTATTCTGTTTATTTGATATACAGTATGTTCTATGTTTATATGCGACAAATAAATTTATAATTTGTTTAACGTCGCAAGTAAATATATTTTGTAAGTTTAGACAATGATAATTTAATGTTACAGTCAATTTGTATTAGAAATTATTATCTTCTTAAATATATATAACTCGAAGGTGACTGATGTAGTGATCTATCAACGCACAGCCCAAACCACTGGACGGATCGGGCTGAAATTTGGCACGCAGGTAGATGTTATGACGTAGGCATCCGCTAAGAAAGCATTTTGATTAATTCTACCCCCAAGGGGATAAAATAGGGGATGATAGTTTGTATGAAACTTTGTAAATTTGAAACCGATCGGGCTGAGAATTTGCATGCATAAATCTACTATGACGTAGGCATCCCATAAGAAAGGATTTTGATAAATTCCACCCCTAAGCTAGTTTTGTTATAAATATGAAAGTTAATTTGTATAAGAATAGTATCTTAAGAAAATTCACACAGCGCCACCTAGTCCCAAGTTAAAGAGCTTATGTTATGGATACTAGACAACTGACATAAATATTTAGTAATTTTTTTTCTTAATACATACATAATATACATGGAAGTAATATAACAATGTTCTGTCTTATCGCTAAAAAGCGATCTGTTTCTGTGAAACCTAGGATGGCGAGAAGTGATTTGAATAAGTATACATACAAAATAAAAAATAATATTATAAACATACAAATATAAGAACATATACAAGTATACATACGTACAAAATACATTTGAATAAAATTTATTTATATAATAAACATTTTCTTGTCATAAATTTTTATATTGTGACCCTCATTTTTATAAACTACCACTGTTTTAGTGAATTTATATGAAATAATATAATTTAGGGGATCTCTTCCGCACTCTCTTGTATGGGGAGCTAGTAAGGAATTTAATTTAGTATTTTCGCATGCCATTCTTATCTGTACACATATATTTTAATATGCTATCTAGATTCATAAGATTCGATGCGGAAATTCTTCAGCGACAGTAAATAATTCTTATAAGATAGTAGATGATCCGGAAAACGTTATTTTGCTATATAAATTAGAGTACTAATATTGCTACAATAAATAGGGGTTGATGATAGAAGGGTTTTTCTTTTTCTTTAAATAAACTTTAGTTTATAATACCGCAACAGTTCTTTTATATCGCAACTTTTATATCGTGACTGTAATGAACAATATATAAACATTCTGATAATTTCATAACCAAAGACTTTTATCGATATATACAGTTGCGTTTACACTGCAATGCTAGTTGATAACGTCAAATGGCGTCAATATAATCATATTATTGATAGATGACGTCATTTTCACTGCGTAACATACGAAAATAGTTGCGATCAAAGTTAGATACATTAGTTCACCGTTCTATAGTCCACTAAGTTAAATTACAATTTTTTACAGTACTAGCTGACTCAGCTAGCTCGACTCAAACTTTGTTTTGCCATATACATTAAAGTACTATTTTTTTAGAAAAAAATAGAAGTTGGTGGTTTAAGAAAAAATTAGAAGTGTATGTATTATTAATCATGATCATCATCATCTCGGTCCGGAAGATGTCCACTGCTGAACAAAGGCCTCCCCCAAAGATATCCACGACGATCGGTCCTGCGCTATATATTAATATCATATCATACAACAAATACTAATTATATTAAAAATTTTTAAAGAGTCACCCTTATCATTTAGGGGTATAAAATATACTATATTTTATACCCCTAAATTAGGGGTATAAAATATACTATATTTTATACCCCTAAATGATAAAGACTCGCCACAAATTTTTAATTTACAATATGTTGTTATCATTTAGGGGTATAAAATATAGATATATTTTATACCCCTAAATGATAACAACCTATTCGCAGACCAACCAAATTATGTATAAAATTTCATCAATATCAGTCAAGCCTTTTTGTAGGATTTCTGTCAATTGTTCAACAAATCAAATTGGGTGACAAAACGACAGCGCCATCTACTGTTTTTAATATCGTTTTCAAACCATCCAGGAACTGATTGAAATATAGGCACTCATAATATTTCATACAATTTGGCCCAGCCGTTTAGGAGTTAGGTGAAAATTTGAAGACCTCGATGGTCTAGCGGTTTAGCATAGCGTCTTAATTCCGATGGTTGCGGGTTCGATTCTTCGCACGGTACAAACATTTTGTATTCATGAGTATGATTATTTGTGTCGATCTGGGTGTTTTCTATGTATTATACATAGATGTATTTACGAAAAAAAACATATCTATGTATTTGTATCAGTTATCTAGTACCAATAACATAAGCTTTAGCTAGCTTAACTTGGGCCTAGATGGCGCTGTGTGAATTATCTTGAGATAAATATATATAAATATATCGTTCGTATAAGAAAAATTATACGAACTATTTGTATGATTTTCCTGGACAGATCTTTGTGCTTAGAATTATCTGTCAACTCTGTTCTGTTCTATACAATCCACTAGCTCCTCAGTACCTCAAAGAAAGATTTAAATTTCTAAGTTCATCACATTCTCGCCTTCTTCTAATCTCCTGTTGTATACTCCTTGTCATCACTCTAATTTCTCATCTCAATCTTTCACTATTTCTGCCATTAACCTTTGGTGGAATGCACTTCCTCTTGACCTCAGAAGATGTCAAACCAAATTTACCTTGAAGAGGTCCTTGCGTGAACATTATTCCAAATTTCTTTAATAGTATTCAGCCAAACTTCAATCGAGATATGAGATTATATAAACTCCATGAGATTATATGAATATTTATTATATGTAGTTTAAATACCAATAAATACCAATAACACAAGCTTTAGCTAGCTTATTTTGGGTTTAGATGGCGCTGTGTGAATTGTCCTGAGATTATTATTATTATTATATCACAACACATAAATATTTATTTTACAGCAATGATAAAAATAATAATAATATTGTTATGTGTCTTCTTTTTTCTTTTCTTTTATCTAGTTAAAAAGAAGGTAATACTGACCCATACGGACCTTAGCCAAGTGTGGGAGAGGATGCGCTATGTGAAGATTACTATTATTATTATTAAATACAGCCCTTACTTATATATTTAACACTAATTAAATAATTGAGACACGTCTAATGAGTGTCGGCAATGAGCGTTAGGTATGACATCTATCGGCCGTTAACAGGTCAATGCCAGTCACCAGTTACGTGACGAGGAAACCGAGAGCCTCCCGAATTATCCTCACACCACGACCTTCTCTATCAGATACCATTTATGATAGAACAAAGCATCATAAACATCTCATCCAAGTATAAAAACAGTCTGATATGTTGTCACAGCATCAGTCAATCATCAGCGATCAAACATGAAGTTCTTAATTGTATCTTGTGCCTTCGTTGCGGTTTTAGCTGAACCGCCTCGCTTCAGACCGGCGAGGTTCAGGTTCCAGCGACAGGAACTAGCCCCAACAACCACGGAGTCACCAACGGAAGCAACAACAGAGGCTGAAGGTCCCTATCCGCCATCTGGCTGGAAACCTGCAGGCGAGCCTTTCCCTCTTCCTAAACAAACTGAACTGCAGCCGACTTATGGGCCTCCACAGGGTGGGCCGTACCCTCCGTCTGGATGGAAGCCGGCAGGTCAGGCATTTACTTTACCAAACGAACAGCAACCTCCAGCCACTAGTTATGGAGTCCCGGACAATACTTATGGAGCTCCAAGCACAGACGCACCAACCACAGATAACCCTGAATCCGAGAGGTTGGACAGCCCAGTAGAAGTACAGAAGAGCGTGGGATCATACTACGTTCTTCTGCCAAGCGGTCAGCTGCAGAAGGTGGAGTTCATGACAGAGAATGATATCCAGAACATGAAGTATACGGCGCGGCTTCAGCTGAGGGCGCCAGCCCCACTGTTAGTGTTCGGTCCTTAATTTTTAAGTTTTGTGATTATTTATAGGAGTGGTAAATTAATAAACTTACTTTTGATCTTCTAAAATATTTATATGATTTATTTTCGCACTGAGTGATCTTGATGATCTAAATTCAGCCTAATATGATTGTATATAATAATAATAATCTCAGGACAATTTACACAGCGCCATCTAGACCCAAGTTAGCTAAAGCTTGTGTTATGGGTACTAGATAACTGATACATAATAGATTTTTTTATATACCCACCCAGACCAATAAACAAACAATCATACTCATGAATACAAATGTTTGCGCCGTGCGAGGATTCGAACCCGCGACCGTCGGTCGTAACGCGGTGTACACGTATTATACATATACCTTCCTCCAGATTCACTCTATCTATTTTTTAGGGTGGTGCTTGTTCGGAAATGATAGATACAATGTTTGAGTGTATACTGTATCGTTTGTTATAATAATCAATCCTTATACACTACTTACTTACTAAGTACATTATTCATCTTTACATATAAAAAAAAACGCTTCAAAATCCGTTGCGTAGTTTTAAAGATTTAAGCATACATAGGGACAGACAGCAACAGCGACTTTGTTTTATACTATGTAATGATAATGACGGAAATATATTTATATGCCACATATAGTTGTTGAAATTTGACGACCACGATGGTCTAGCGGTTTAGTACACTGTTATACTTGTTATGGTAGCGGATTCCATTCCTTGCATGGTGCAAACATTTGTATTCATGAGTACAGGCTCTGCTTATTTGGTGACTCGATAACGCGATATGAATAGTCCTATATGAATGAATGAATAATTAAATTCATACTCGTGTACATAGTGTTCTCGTATTAATTTTTATTATTTAACTTAAAATGATATGTTTTTGAGCACTGAATATCTTAACCTTAATTTAATATATAGAATTCAAAGGTGACTGACATAGTGATCTGTCAACGCACAGCCCAAACCACTGGACGGATCGGTCTGAAATTTGGCATGCAGATGTTATGACGTAGGCATCCGCTAAGAAGGGATTTTGATTAATTCCACCCCTAAGGGGATAAATTAACGCGAGTAAGGCCGCGGGGAAAATCTAGTACATATATTATAGACATCAAAGTTTTTGAGTATAGATAGATGACTGTTATTCTTTCACGCAAAAACTAATGAACGAATTTTGATGAAACTTTACAGTAATAGTAGTAAGCTTATACCTACATCAGAATGACACATAGGCTATAATTTTCACGCGGGTGAAACCGTGAGCAGGGCTAGTAATTATATAAATTAGAAAATAATTAATTAATTATAGTATTATTATCGTGGGAAGCGTGGGAAGGCCTCCAGCAAGGTGGACCGACGATGTGGTCAAGATAGCTGGAAGGCATTGGATGCGAGCAGCGCAGGACCGATCATCGTGGAAAGCTTTGGGGGAGGCCTATGTCCAGCAGTGGACGTCTTCCGGGCTGCGATGATGATGATGATGATGAGTATTATTATCACAAATTTTCGCCATCACTGCCCTACAACGCTTTCTAATTCTACCCAAAGGTTAGCTGGTATAGAATGCTATATGACATTAACCTCGCCTCTTGTACACTCTTTATAGTCCAATAAAGATAAAAAAATATATATGTTTTAAGGGTGTAATTATTCTGGCGACATGACTTTTGTCGTAAAGCAGCTTACTGAGTCATGATATCCTAGTCTTTAGCATGGTGTTACGACGAGCGTCGCGCATGTATGCCATTATTGACAAATTCAAATTCAAAATATCTTTATTCATGTAGGTCTATTACAGACTCTTATGATATGTCAAATCTACCGTCAGTTCGGAATGATTTCAAGATGAGAAGAACTGACAAGAAACTCAGCTCGTATTTTTTTTTTAATGTTGTACATATTTACAATAATACTATTTCATTTAAATTCAAATTTGGGAGAATAGAGTGACCACCAGCATATGCTATATAAAAAAAATCAAAGAAACTAATCAGTGTTCGCAACCTGAACATATCAGTCACCACAAGCAGCACCCGTTCACGAGTATGATGCCAGCCATCATTGCACTCAACTATATTAGAGGGAGCACATCGACCCGGCCCACCACGCCGCCACAAGTTTGAACTTTATAGCGAGCATGACTGTCAACATTAAGTTACTCCACTACGTCATTTATATTATTTACAGCTTAAACTGTACCAATCACAGTTTTCACCCATTATAATATTTAATTTACATTACATACAATTGCCATTGCCATATGCCATGATAAGCACGCTGACCGTCCACTCTTTAGTAATTGGCGTCATAACTCTTCTGTGTTGCCATTCCTTAAAAAAACGTCTGTAACTCCCCTTTCAGTGTTAACGATATATATTAATATTATAAAGAGGTTTGTATTTTTTTATACTCACATAGGTAGCAAACAAGCATACGGCCCATCTGATGGTAAATGGTTACCGTATATAAATCAAATAAAAAAAAAATAGTAACCTATGGACTCCTGAAACACCAGGGGTTGTATGTTTGTTTGTTCGGGGTAATATCCGGTTCTGCTGATCTGACTTTAAATTTTTTCTCTGTTAGAAAGGTATATTATCCTCGAGTGCTATACTATATCTCTAGACTATAACATCACGCTACGACCAAGAGGAGGGGAGCAGCAATAAAAAATGTTGTAAAAAATATTCATTTGAAATGCTTCCCTTGAGAGTAAGATATTTCTATAGTCTAAGTTTTTATAAAAGAACTTCAAATATTGGGCCCGTGCGATGCCGGGGTGGGTTGCTAGTCTTAAGTAATTAGATATCTTAAGGGTATATTACACGGTATATTGGTATAATTAAGAGAGAATTATTACGGATTACACACCGTGTTACTTGTACAGTAGCAGATAATCGGTTGTTACTGACCCTTGCCTCTTTTGTGCCTCTATACGATAAAAATCCTTTTGTTTTGTTTACTCCCAAGGTAAATATATATTAATATTTTGTATTATTAATAACTAGCTACTCGCCCTGGCTTCGCTCAGGTGTATACGTATTATATATATAAACCTTCCTCTTGAATCACTCTATCTATTAAAAAAAACCGCTTCAAAATCCGTTGTGTAGTTTTAAAGATATAAGTATACATAGGGACGGACAGACAGCGACAGCGACTTTGTTTTATACTATGTAATGATATCGTATCTTGACATGATTTGTGGTCTCGGTACTCTAGAGGTCTAGCACACCGATTTTCGTGGGTTGGATTCCACGGTGCAAACATATGTATTCATATATGATTGTTTGTATCGTTCTGGGTGTTTTAAATGTATGTTAATTATTTACAAAAAATATCTATGTATCTATACAGGCTCCTAGTACACATAACATAAGCTCTGCTTAGCTTGGGACTAGATGACGCTGCGTGTGTGTAATTCGTCCTGAGATTATAATTATTTAAATAAGTACATATTTTTAAGACAAATGAAAGATTTTTGTGAGGAGAATCCATTCATGTTTTTGGGGAGAAATAAATAAATAATAATTATTATTAAGTACTAGCTGTATCCGCGTTTTCGTCTGCTTGGAATTTATCTTTTTCTAAAATAAAAGTAGCCTAAGTTTCTCCTTATTTTACACTGCGGCGTATACTACACTTACGGGTCAAAACCATATAGGTACAGGGTGTGTGTGTACGTGCGTGTGAATATATTTTTTTTTTACTACTCTAATGCTGTTGGCCGCAGCTGGCCTTTACAGCTTCACCGGACGTTAGGGGGCGAGTGCAGATGGCACTCTAAACTCGCGGAAGGACTTATGGAGCGGCTGAAGGCCAGCTCCTGCCTGACGGATACGACTTTAGTCTGAGGGCACCACTAGGGGTTCGAACCTAGGCTCAGGCCGTCGTAATTTCGATCCCCGTTTGAATTGGACGGGGGATCGATCGGAGAGCCGCCGGGGGGCGCCGGTGTGGAACGCCCGGGCGCGCCGGTTGATTGCGTGATATGGTGTGTTGGGGGTCGTCGTCTTCGCCGGCGAGGACGGTGTCGTGTGTGTGCGTAAAAGTGTGGTCGGGGTGGATGTGGGAATATGTGCGTGTATGCGCATGTGCGTTATTATTATTATAGTAATTATGACTAAATATATGAGATAATTTTAAAGCCAACCTACACCACACACCACATTCAAGTCATCCAATAAATAAAAAAAACTAGCGAGTGTGACGTCATGCAATAAGTAAATATTCATTTAAAGAAACCAAACGAATCTTCCTATAAAACCTCATTTAATGTTACGGAATACTAACGATAATGATGCCGTTTATAATTGTCTCGTATTTAATTGCTCTCCTTTAGTTCTATACGCTCAGATTCTATCTCGCCTTCATTGTGCTATGCTTACATTTATTTAAGTTAAACTAGCTGTGCCCGCGACTTCGTCTGCGTCGAATAGCGACCTTGAACAAATAAAGAAAATATTAGATTATAACCCAAAAAAGTTTCATTGGTCTACTTAAAAAAATGATGGTATTTTCATCACGGCTTTCGACCTCTTACAACCTTTTTTTTGGGCTAAAAAGTAGTCCTTACTTAGGGTGTAGACTATCTGTGCACCAAATTTTATTTAAAACGATTCAGTAGTTCAGCGTGAAATCGCGACAAATAGACAAACAGAGTTTTTTCTCGTATTTATAATATTATATATATAACAGTAAAGATTTGTATGTATATCTAAATATCCTGCGGTATATAGAATACTTATTTGAATAAGTATTGTGAGGCTTAACTCTTGAGAATTGATTGATCCGTCATACTCGTGAACGGATGCTGCTTGTAGGGACTGGTTCTGGCTACGGCCACTGATTAGACTATATATTTCTATATGCTGCTATTCTCTTAATTTGAATTTCATAATGAACCTGTATTTTTGTACAAGCTCATTTGAAAATAGTCTGTAATAAACCTACATGAATAAAGAAAGAATTATTAATAAAGATATTTTTTTATTGATTCCTCATACAAATCGATTGGTACCGGTAACACAAGCTCTGGTAGCTTGAGACTAGATGGCGCTGCGTGAGTTGTTCTGAGTTATAATTATTATAAAATGTTTCTCACCAATGTTCAATCTAAATTTTAACTACATTTATTCTGATAGAGAGTAGATTGTTTTATTGTAAAACATGTATAAATAGAAAGAATCTTTATTCAAATAAACTCATTACAATTTTGAATTGTCATATTTTTTTATACTATCAGTCATTCGGAACGCAGATTCATCACAAGAAGAATGAGCAAGAAACTTGTGATATCTTAAGTAAGTAAAAGATATAAATGTTTATAGATAACATGTTATATTTAAGCTATTTATTCATAAAGTTATATATATTTATAATTTAACGTACAGTAACGTAGTGCTAAATATATAATACTAGTTACTCGCCCTAGCTTCGCACATGTATTATACATATAAACCTTCCTCTTGAATCACTCTATCTATTAAAAGTATCGCTTCAAAATCCGTTCCGTAGTTTTAAAGATTTAAGCATATATAGGGACGGACAGACAGTGACGGTTTGTTTTATACTATGTATTAATGATGTAGAGGCACGTAAAACGACGAGCGATGTTTAAATAGATGCATGAGAAGATTGCGAACTTTTCTTCGACCGGTCCGTGTTATGATGCTGAGATTGTATTTGACCTGAAACAAATTAGGAGAATCTATACTTATATATACAAAAATGTATGATTTTTTATTGTGCCCTCAGATTAAAGTCGTATCAGTCAGGTGGTAGTTGGCCTTCAGTCACTCCATAAGTTCTTCCGCGGGTGTAGAGTGCCATCTGTACTCGACCCCTATCGTCTGGTAAAGCTGTAAAGGCCAGCTGCGGCCAACAGCATTAGAGTAGTCCGAAAAAAAACCAATCGCGACGCTAAGATATTATGGAAGTAAACTCACGGTAATTCGAAAGGCTTTCGAAATAGTTATCCTTCACAAGCCAAAAGTTAATAAACCACTGCACCAACGCTCTACAGCTCATGTATGCTAACAGTAATGATACCCAAGATGTGTCAGAAGAAGCATTTTCTGTCTTCTCCATGGTCAGGTCTGACGGTCTTTTTCTTATGGCATTGACATGTTGTTTGTTTGAATTAATATACAGCAATATATCGACTGTGAAAAGAAATATATATAAGACAAATCTAATATATAAGCTTCTGGTGGCACAAGTTTTTTTTTATGTAGGACATTTTGGCCGCTTATGAACGTCAAATTTTTAAATTATAATTTTAATCCCTACCATCCAGTTCTGTATATAGATCCAATTGAGAAGAACTGGCATTAAACTCAATTAAATTATTTTTATTTTTTTTTGTTTCTTGTTCATACTCCTTAGAAACGGCTTGACCGATTTTGATGAAATTTTGTTCTTGTGTTATGGGTACTAGATAACTGATACATATACGTAGGTACATATTTTTTGTAAATACATACATATTATACATAGAAAACATCCAGACCGATACAAACAATTATACTTATGAATACAAATGTTTGTACCGTGCGAGGAATCGAACCCGCGAGCATCGGTCGTAAAGCGGTGTGCTAGACTGCTAGACCACCAAGGTCGTCAATAAATCTCATATGTTGCCATTCCAGAGGGCTATGTCGTTGAGACAATAGTATAGTCAACTGTCATTTGACTGACATATCTCATCTTCAAACTGAAATACAGTTTAGAAGAAATTGCTTTGCGGCTGAATAAAAGATAGAGACACACATGCTGACAATCATCGTTATCATTACATAGTATAAAACAAAGCCGCTGTCGCTGTCTGCCCCTATGTATGCTTCGATCTTTAAACTACGCAACGGATTTTAAAGCGGTTTTCTTATAATAGATAGAGTGATTCAAGAGGAAGGAAGGTTTATATATATATATATATATATATATATATATATATATATATATATATATATATATATATAATAAATGTACACCCGTGCGAAGCCGGGGCGAGCAGCAAGTTTTGTATAAAGTAAAACTCTGTTTTTCATTTGTAAGATCTTTGAAGTAGGTTAAACATGGATTCGAAACGTCGAGATCGAATAAAGGTAAAATAAAAGTCGATTGTATTCAGTGGAATAACCGGATATATCTATGGGATAATATGGATCGAGGTCAGGTGGCAGGGTGAGCGGGTCCTCCCTTGAGCAATAACTTTCGTAACTGCGTTGTACATATTTCTTTGAAAATAAAATTGATGCTTGACCTTAGTACAGGATTTCAGAAAGTTATATTATTATTGTTACAGTTTCAGAGAGAGCTCTTGAGTCGTCGCTGCCTCACGGAATAATTTGAACTAGTGTTATGATTATAATAATAATGGTTGAAATTCGAGCAGAATTAATTTTAATTATTAAGTTTAAACCTTACTGAATTGAACTCAATAGAAGTTCAATTCAGTATGCAGATTCAATTGAGAAGAAACGGCAAGAAACTTATCTGATTTTTTTTTAGATGTAATAGTGAATGGTGCTCAGTTGTCTCCTTATACAGCCTAATTTCCTACAATATATTACTATAACACTTTTTTAAATTCTTTTTCAATACATATACAATTATGCACTTTTATAATGAGATTCATAGTAATATATACATGAAAAAAATTGTATTCTCCTCCTATTTGTCTCTTTATACAGCCTAATTTCCTCCAATATATTACTATAACACTTTTTTAATTTCTTTTTCAATACACATACAATTATGCACTTTTATAATGAGATTCATAGTAATATATACATGAAAGATATTGCATGAATTATCCATAGACAGTGGTAGGTATTTCCATATAATAACGTATGAAATTGGATGGCTTCTCAAATACTGCTTGCGGTACTGATACGTAAGCCAAAGTAAGCCATATGAAATATGATTTCTTATGAAAATCCTGTTGGAATGCTATTCTGTCGAAATATTTTTAGTAGAATATTGGTTTTGTTGCAATTCTTAGTGGTTTACTACTTACTGGGATAAAACCACAAAACCTTGAGTTTAAATTTGACTGAGAGTAAAAAAAAAACATCGTATGGTGTATCAATGAAAATTTCTGTTTTGCGGTGATAGAAAAGCAAAAAATAATCATTTTAGTAACGATTAGCGATCCGCTGCTATTTCATATGGATGCGTTTCAAATCATTGAGTTTTTCGGCTTTGCGGATCATCATCATTATAGCTTGGAAGACATCCACTGCTGAACAAAGGCCTCCTCTAAAAATCTCCACGACGATCGGACGATACTGTTCGCATCCAACGTTTTCCAGCGATCTTGACCAGATCGTCGGTCCCTTGTCGGAGGCCTTCCCACGCTGCACACGTCTTCCGGTCCGCGCCACTCGAGGTCTATACTGACCCAACGGCCATCTGTCCCACGAGCGGTTGTTTCCTTTCTTTAGTCTATATGTTTCCCCATATCAAACAACATATATTGTCAAAATTTGATACTAATACTTCCCACCGTTGTGGGGAAGGCGATTGTTAGTAATGTGGACTCACGACCGCATTACTAGCAATGTACCATGTCAGGTTGACCTCCACGCGGTTCTCCCTGGAAACCATCATGATAAATTCCTGGTGAATTTGTCACAATGGGCTAACTGACCTGGCCTCGTGTTCATCTTATCATCCTCCACTGGTGCCCCGCCAGTGTAAACCGTTAGCGCGGGCGGGTGCACTATCCATTATCATCCTTAAAAAAAAACCTCCCACCGTTTATACGCAAAACGTTAATACTCAATCAGAGCGGGGTGGTTAGTAATGTGGACTATTAATCTCATTGGTCATAGCCGTCTACTATATCAGGTTGACTTCCTGACTGACCTGAACTTATGCTCATCTTATCGTCTTCTACTGGTGCCCCGCCAGCGTAAACTGTTAGCGCAGTTGGGTGTACCATTTCATTATCAAAACCAAATAAACATATTAACAAACACGTGCAGTTTTTGATTAGAAAATTATAATAATTAATGATATTTTAAGGTAGTTAGTGAACCTTTGGAAACCAAATGAAAATTGTTAAGACAACTCTTTTTGTGTGTTGAATTCTTGTTAATTTGTATAAAACTTGTTAACATTACGTAACTCAACCAAACACCGAGCAAGTACAATTTATCAAATCTAACAAGAAGCTTATAATTAATTTCTAAGATTGTAACTTCGGCGAAGTTGCCAACTGAATATATTTTAAGTTTAGGACAAACTTAAGAGGACGAAAAGAGCTCAAATTTGTTGGACAATTGATTCAAATAAATATTTTGTTACTCGAATGTTCTTTAATCCATTTATATTCTTTTCTAATTGTTGCTTGTAGGGACTGGTCTGTTATGATAACTATGACTTATTTATTTTGTTACTCAAGTAACTATTTATTTATGTTCACTTTGCTAATTATATGTAATAAATGTTATTCTATTCTATTTTGCAGTTTGTATTACACAACCCTACGAGCCTACCACCTTCTTTCGAATTTTTGAATTAATATTGTTGTCAAAGATTTTTGTATCCTCTAAATTTAAACTTACGACCTTCTGGGTGTAATAACGTATTTATGGGTTACACATACATGCGTAAATATAAAACATACATATTTTAACGAAGCATACGAAATATATAGCAGTTAACACGTTATCAATATTTGGCAGAGAGCGACAGACAAATAATGGGATAAAGGACAGACAGCGACATCGACCTTTCTTTTTATACTATTATGTAATGATGACGAACAGCGTTTTATATTGTGTAATGATGAAGAACTAGAGAAAGTAGAGAAGTGAAGATCGAGAGACTTACCTTCAGTCATCGTGTATTTCGTGTCCATTAGAAATAACGTCATATATACTAAATCCACTGTAATTATAGCTACTCCAGTTAAAGCGAACGGTACTGATACTGTATAGAATCCACATGGTCGGTGCCTTACTGTCATATTGAGGAACGCAAATAGCAACCACACTACGTGAAGTGATAGCCATACTCTCATTTTACTGTAATACAATAATAATAATCTCAGGACAATTCACACAGCACCATCTAGACCCAAGTTAAGCTAGCTAAAGCTTGTGTTATGGGTATTAGATAACTGATATATATATATACATAGATATATATTTTTATGAATACAAATGTTTGTGATATGCGAGGAATCGAACCCGCGACCATCGGTCGTAAAGCGGTGTGCTAGACCGCTAGACCACCGAGGTCGTCAGGAAGATAGATTGAAAAACTATAAAGAAGATAGATTTGAAAACGTATCAATATACTCTAGTACAATATAGTCTACTCAAATAATACAGTTGTATAGACTAAGAAAATAAAAAAAATCTATTTTTTAAACTACTGGATGCATGCATATGTATATGTATAAATACTAGATGTTATTGTAAATATACATGTGTTCTTTAATATATTATTTATGTCTTTTCTTTAGTGTAAAATATAAAATCAATCCGGAAATATTTTAACTATTCTTGTAAGTTATTCTCAATATTCACAATAATTGCAAACGTTTACATGTTATACATATATATATATATATTTTTTACATATATATATGTAGACCAGGGTACTCGTATGTCGCTCGCTAGCAAACAAAGATTCAAATGTCTTATATATAGTGTATTATATAATATAAGTGATTATACATGATAAAAATGTTTATGTAGACAAATGAGATTTAAAATTTATGGCGCTGACCATATTATATGATTGCACAAAGATTGGGTACGTAGCAGTCTCTTAGAACAACATTAAAAGAGCAACAAGCAAGTTTCTTTATCGTTCTTTTTGTGATATGTCCGTGTTCCGAATGAGTTGTAAAATAAAAAAAAAAATCTTAAGTACTTATTATACATTAGGATTATTTAAATAAAGATTATTACTATTTCTATGGAATAGTAATATAACTGATAACTAACTCTCTAAAAGCGGCAGCAATTTCATTTTTCACTGGCCACACAATGTTTGAGGAGGATCCGGATGTATAGTTGTAGAAGTACACCCTTCCACACGCTTCAGGGTCATGGAAGTATAACAATTTCGCCAGGGTCACTTCGTGCAGTTCTGATGCCGTCGGAGCCAAGTGGCAATTGAGGGTCATCCAACTTATAATTACGCAAAATGCAGCTAAAATTTTATATATATATTCTATAAAAGTATATGCAAATATATAGGTCTGGAAAACATTAAAATATACGTTAAATAAGGTGCGTCTTTGTTTTCACTTAGTACATATCTACGAGTAAATAAATACAATTTAAACCAAAGTTATTAGATAAAATTGAAGTGTCTGTTTGGAATTTCTTATTAACAGCTTTTCAATAAATGCATATGAAATTATGTAGGATACTTACATGAAAAAAATTGTCAGTCTGTTTGTCGTTCTTGCTAATCTCTATAAACGGTGGAGAGATTTTGTTATTTTCATTCGCAGATACCCATTCATTATGTATATTTGAATTAAAATAATCAAAAAGTGGGTGCTTTTTTTTAATGGGTGATAATGGAATGGTTGCGCTCTAATGGTTTACGCTGGCCAGGCACCAGTGCAGGATAATAAAATGAACATGAGGTTAGATCAGTTAGTCCACCGTGGTCAATTAACCAATAATTTATCACGATGGTTTCCAGGAGGTCAACCTGACAATTTATATTGCTAGCTTGCAAATGGGGTTAACAGTCCACATTATTAATAATTCTCTTCCCTTAAAAAGCGCATATTACTACCATATAATAATTATATTAATATAATTTTATATATCTACTAATAATAATTTAATTTACATATCCAAATAATGTATTTACATAAAGCGAGCTTTGCTGACAAGATAATTCAATTTTCGTATCAAGCGTCGATGTTCTAAAAACAGATTATAAAAACGATTTTAATTCCATTAAACCAATTATCGTTCATCCAATTATCAATTCAGATATTCGTTTACGATAAGCGGAATTTGTAGCAAATCGAAATAATATCAGATCGGCGAGATGAAACAACTTACTTTGATATAAAATAACAGCCGCCGTCCAAAAACAGATAGGGCAAACAAATTCAAGTGGGTTCTGAACCAATTTGCTGTCACTGGGACCGCTCAGAGTTCTGTAGTATAATACGTAGTTGTTGTTTAACTGTTGGTATACAGGTTCGGGTATTGACAAGTTTCGTTCTTGCATGTGTCTACTCTTTACTTCTCTCTTCTTATTTTTTTATTCTTATATCGTAGGTAACTTTGCAGCTGTATATGTTTAGAGTTAAGAGGACAATTCCTTACATCCAACAAATAGAAGCTGTTATAGGATTGGAGATGAAACAACTTACTTTGATATAAAATAACAGCCGCCGTCCAAAAACCGAGGGACCCCATTAGTGGACGTTTTAAAGAACTGTTTACGATCACATTTTTGCTTTCGATTTGTAAACTGAGCTTAAAACGCTCGGAAACAATCGAGATAGGGCAAACAAATTCAAGTGGGCCGTGAACCAATTTGCTGTCAGCGGGACCGCCCGGACCCTGTTTTGATTACAGGTAAAGTCCAAAATTAATGGCTGCCGTCTCCAAGGCGTGGTGATAATGAAAAATTTAATAGCGCTCCAGTTGAAGGTTTCAAATTGAATTTCCTTGAAAATAGAATCGTCTCGTTTCATTTCACATTATCAAGGCTTAGCGCTCTTGATAAATTGCTCGCTTTTAATTCAAAGGGAACTTACAAAGAAATAATAGCTTATACTCGTGTTTAATAGAAGATTTTATTTATAACGCTTTTGTGTACGAACGGTTTATGTTCGCCAGATCTGCAGTGTAATACGTGTTTATCGTTGAACTGTTGGTATGCAGGTTCTGGTATTGGCAAGTTTAGTTCTTGCACGAGTCTTCTTTTTACTTCTCTCTTCTTCATTCTTTTTCTTATGTAGTAGATAATTTTGCAGCTGTATATATTTAGTGTTAGGATGACAATTCCTCTCATCCAACAAATAGAGGCCGTTATGGGTAACCATCCAGCAAAATCATCATAATTTCTTAATTGTAATTCCACACTCCATCCGCTGTATCTAAGAACCATGCCTTTGGTAAGACTTTGCTGTATATGTGCCACATAGACAATAGCCATGGATATATCAAAAAATAAGACAGAGATAGATATATATAAAAACATAGCAAGCACTACTTTCAGTAGTTTGATATTTTTACTCTTTCTCGTTGCAATTCTTAGGATCATAGCGGCAAACATCCAGATAATATGGATTGTTAAACTCAGCTCAATGTACCTATGGATAGAGAAAAGTTATTCAGTAATAAAATGAAAGGCTAGCTCAGTGTTTTTCAAACTTTTTGATTTCGCGACCCCTTTACAGCTAAAAATATTCTGGCGACCCCCTTGTGTCATAGAAAACCAAAGAAATAATTTAATTAAAAGCCTACATACGTTACTTAAGTAAAAAAATGTTTTTATTTTGGTACATTTATCTATTATTAACGCAGGTCACACTGCGCCGGCGCCGGCGACGGTGACACCGCATTGTCGTGGCGTCAACAGTAAGTACACGCACGCCTTCCGCAATGTTTTTTTATTTAACCTCGACTTTTTCTTTCAGCCGAAAACGCCCCGATTAAGGTTTCACGCCCACAGATTGGAAAACACTGGCTGGCTAATATCCGTTGCATTGAGGATCGCTATAACTTCGAAAGAAACATCTCTATCTCTAACTTATTTCTCTCTCTCATTTTATTAGGTGTGTTTTGGTCGAAGGTTGATAAGGTAGGTACAATATAAGAGGCATGATATCTTAGTTCAAGTTCATGGCAAGGCATAAGTGGTATATTATAATGTCCAATGATAACGTGATATCATTAGTGCTGTTTATGTATATAGGTGACGGTTACCACATACCACCAAGACCGTCAGCTTGTTTACCATTTCTTTTTTTTGTAAATATTCACCATTTAAACTTAAAAACTTACACAATGTTAGTTACCACAGTCCTCTGAAACGGTTTGACCGATTTTTATGATATTTTATATGCATATTCTGTAGGTCTGAGAATCGACTACTATCTATTTTTGATACCCCTAAGTGATTAGGGTTGTCCACTTCTACCATTTATTTTTTATTCTTAGGACAAACATTTTTAAAAATTGTATACTTACCATTAGCATAAATAAGTACAGTAGGTATGTATTTTTTAATGCCTCATTATTAAAATTAACCTTAAATTTTCACCTGTTCTTAATAGCGATTTTAATTTACATGGCAAAACAAAGCTTGCGGGTTCCATTTGTAATATATAATTCTATCGGAAACTCTTACAGTTCGAAGATCAGATTGATCAATTACGAATGCTTCATTGAATGCCAGAAATAGATACGAGATTATTATCAATAATATTTTAGTACGTTATTATTATTATAACGAGTATATTCCGTGTTTTGGATGAATGTAGTGATATACAGCGGAATCTCGATTTGGATTTAATTAAGAAAATGTCTTTATACATGTAGGTCTATTACATTATGTCAAATCTACCTACGAGTGCTTTGGAGCCGAGAAAAACTGACTAGAAACTCAGCTTGTATTCTTTCCAAATGAATGTTGTACATGTTTACAATAATACAGATTCATTTTCAAATTTAGTAGTACAGATACACAATCACTATCTGCTTAAATTTATTAATACGTTAGGATACTACGTACTTTCTAGTTTTTGCTGATAATCGTGTAGAAACAGTCATAATAGCTGGTTTCCATTTTATGGGGAGTATTTGTAAACCGAAAGTGTTATTAGGTAGTTGGATGTTGGAGAGAGATCTGGCTATGTGCAGGTTGTAGTCACACGCTTGGGGATCGAAGAGGTACATGATACGTAACAACTTGTCAAAATCTAGGGTTGCGTTGTCTGGAGTCCAAATACAATGCAGGACTGTAGCGGAGCCGAGGAACACCAAAATACCTGATCAAGAAAAAATTTGATTTTTTATGCTACTAATAATATTCTAAATCTATACATATGAATAAAATTGAAGTGTCTGTTTGTAATATTGAAATAACCGTTATTTACTACATGCATGTGAATATAAATATGGTACATACACCAAAATTTTTTTACAATTTTTGTCTGTCTGTTTCATCCGGCTAATCCCTGAAATGGCTGGGCCGATTTTGACGGAACTTTTTTGGCAGGTAGCCGATGTAATGAGGAGTAATTTAGGTTACTTTAATTTCAGAAAAAATAGGTTAAATTCCACGTAGAGGAAGTAGCGGGAACAGCAAGTGTTGATTGTGTTAAAGCTGCTTTCTGTTTGCTTTAGGAGAAGTGGAAATTTTGTACTTAAATTTAAATAAACCACGTTGTGTCTTCACAGTTGTATTTTGACGACTGATTGTAATGTACACAAACGGTGGCCAGCCGGTAGAAACACACATAACTATAACTGCGGTCCGATATAGACCAACCAGCTAGTAATAAATAAATAAAGAAATATCCCAGGACAATTAACACAGCGCCATCTAGTCTCATGGTCAGCAAAAGTTGTGTTATGGGTAACATACAACTGATATAAATACTTAGATTTTTTTTGTCAATACATAAATAATATATATAGAAAACACACAGATCGATGCAAACAATCATATTCATGAATACATATGTTTGCACCGTGAGAGGAATCGAGCCCGCGACCATCGGAATTAAAGCGGTGTGCTAAATCGCTGGATCACCGAGGCCGTCAAATATTAACAGTGGACAGTTCACACATAGCCATCTAGTTCAAACTTTTTTTTATAAAAAAAGTAAGTTGTATGTGGGAAAGTGAAGGCAATTTTTTACATTAATATTTCATCTCTTTCGTCAGGACTACCTCTCACGCGCCATATTCATAATAAATTTTCATTTCTTCTGGCTTTCATTCATTCTCGCGATCTTGTTCTTTGTTCCTACTTTATTAATATTTTCATCTTAAGATTTCGTTGAATTACTATTCAAAATACTGTCTTAAAATTCAAAATATCTTTATTAATGTAGGTCTATTACAAACGCTTATGATACGTCAAATCTACCATCAGTTCCGAATGATATCGAGATGAGAAGAGCTGACAAGAAACTCAGCTCGTATTCTTTTCAAATAAATGTTTCAAATAAACTTTCTGATGGTCGCGGGTTCGAAACAATTATTTGATTTGATAAGTATTCGATATATCTATTTGTAATTATTTGTACGTTCTTTACAATATATAAGTTAACTAACTACTTTCCCCAGCTTCGCTCGGGTGTACATGTATTATACATATAAACCTTCCTCTAGAACTCTATCTATTAAAAAATAACCGCATAGAAATCCGTTGTGTAGTTTTAAAGATTTAAGCATACATAGAGACGGACAGACAGCGACAGCGACTTTGTTTTATAATATGTAATGATATATAATAACAAAAAGCATTTGAGTAAGAGGATCAATTGTACTACGTAATGTGTAAGCTTCGCTTAATTTGGGACTAGATGGCGCTGTGTAAGTTGTACTGAGATATTTGTTAAATTTTGTATAACATTTGTAGATATAATAATGTTGGAAATATTCATTCCTTTATAATTTAAGAGCTGTGCTCTTGTCGGTGGAGCTGCCGCCACCTTCCACGATCTTCCATCAGTCCTTTTAGCTGTTGGTACGACACGACTCAAACTTTAACGTTGGAAATATACAACATTTTAATTAGTGAGTTTATATTATTTCACTATACACATTTTAAAAACAAACAAGATGGTAGAAGACTTTCCATCAATCTTATTTATTTTCAATATATTATTTTATTTTTATTTTTAATTAACCTTAATACTTAAATTTATACATTAGTTTTTGAAAATATTGAGAATATACACTCTCAATATTTTCAAAAGCTAATGAAAGTATTTTAATGCAGTTTCTATCCATCAACAGAGTAATTTTTGAGGTAGGTTTAGGAATATAAATCTTTAAAGTTTTATGTAAATAAATTTAATTAATTATTAATACTGAGCGGATTGCTCTCTTGTAATAACATCAACTCTACAAATGACTGATACCTCGTTTCCGAGATGAAGCTATGAAGTTATAACATACACAATATATGTATATATATATCCTGTAATAGTACGGGTAAATATCAAAGTAATATATAATTATAGAACATGATCTGTGAAATTTGAATTAAGTTCTAATCGCCTTTGACGATGGTTAGGTGATAGCAAATAGGTAGTTAATTCACTGGAAAGCTCACTATAAACACGAGTTTGTAGAGATAACTTCGATATTATACAGGGTTCGATAGTAGTTGTCAATATTGACTCAACTAAAATTGATGAGTTTCGTAAGCAAACTGCTAATCTTAGCTTTGCATCTTAGAAAATTTAGTGAATAATATATTTTCATGTTAATAACCAGCAAGTAGTACGAGGTATAGTAAATATATAACATTTATGGTAAATTACCATGCTATCCTGTAATTACAGTATATACTACTTATAAACAAAAACACTGAAATACCAGAACAAACCAAACAAAGTGTATCTTAGCTGAAATCATAGTTTTAAATTTTTAGACACGATATGCAATGGTTGTACTAAATTGTTATTTAGTCTTGCATTTATTATTTACTATCTACTCGCCCCGACTTCGCACGGGTGTACATGTATTATATATATATAAACCTTTCTTTTGAATCACTCTATCTATTAAAAAAACTGCTTCAAAATACGTCGAGTAGTTTTAAAGATTTAGGCATACATAGGGGCGGACAGACAGCGACAGCGACTATTTTTATACTATGTAGTGATATTAAAAAGTTTGCGTTTAATATACATTATTTATATTGGTTATATTGTGGCTAAATTTATAAATATTAGTATAGGGTAGTATTACACTATGGTTCCATTCAGTGCATAAGTAAACGTTGAAGCAGATTATTTAACAATATTGTTAACCGGGTCTTAACACGAACAATTATATACGTATCTAGTTGTTTAGTACCCATAACACAAGGTCTGCTTAGCTTGGGACTAGATGGCGCTGTATGATTGTACTAAGATATTACGAAGTTACGATACAAGAGAGAGCCGAAGTGTTTCCGCATTATAAACTAAAAATTGCCTAAAAACATGATAGGATTTCCAACAAATACGTTTTTTCCAGTCGACCTTTACAATTGGTATTTTTAATTATCTGACTCTCTACAAAATGAATTTAGTACTTTAAACAGAATGCTACAAACATGTACACAGAGCGCCTCGGAATTGGTTACTAATTTATTGTGTAACACAGTCCGCTGAACTTTGAAATCGATACCAATTAAATTTTGCAATTCGATTGTGAGCACCCAACGTGCCTAGTAATAAATCATTTGGTCCATCGGAGGGTGGTAGCAGTCTCTCAGTTTGGTATCAGTCAACACTGTAAGCATGATCAAGCATGCTGATTTTCTAAATGGGGAACGGAGAAAGGTTAGCGTAAACGTTTTGGGATCGTTCAGCAATATATTCGAAGTTGATTTTGCTGTTCACATCTATACATATAAATAAAATTGGAGTGTCTGTTTGTAATATTAAAATAACCGTTTTTTACTAAATGCATATGAATATAAATACGGTACATATACCAAAATAACATTTTTTGCAATTTTTGTCTGTCTGTCTGTTTGATCTTGCTAATCTCTGAAATAGCTGGACCGATTTTGATGGGACTTTTTTTCGCAGGTAGCTAAGGTAATAAGGAGTAACTTAGGCTACTTTTATTTTAGATTTTTCTTACTTTAGAAAAATTAAGTTGAATTTCACGCGGACGAAGTCGCGGGAACAGCCAGTAATTAAATACTATTATATGATAATACTATATTTAAATACATGTTATAACTTTACTAATTGTTACTAAATAAAGTCAAATATACCGACAGACAACTATACATGTACACAAATAATAAAATTTTAGTGTCTGTTGGTAATTTTAAATTAACTTTCACTTAATGAATATGATACGATATTTGTATCAAGAAAAAATAATGATATAAATTTTTGTTGCTGTCTATCTGTCTGTTTGCTTTTGGTAATCTTTAAAACAGCGGGACTAATTTTGACGGACTTTCACACGCATATAGCTATAAGTAGTAACTTAGGCTACTTTTATTTGAGAAAGTTTATCTATTGTTATAAAAAATATTTTTTTAATTCAGCAGTAACAGTATTTTTTTTTTTGGGGTATTTGGGCTATTGTCAGATGCTAAGTCCAGTAGCAGTGCGACCTGCGTAGACCTATTGTACTCGCTCTTTTTCAATGTACGCTACCTAGACCCGTCAGTGACTAGAATTGAAGGATATTCTTAGGAGCGATGGTTTGTATCTCCTCAGAATAGAGTGTATCCTTCCAAAACAGATGTTTCGTTTATGTATGAGTGAGCTACAACCATATAGGATGTGTAGTAGCATAATTTCGTGAGTTTATATCAATATGTAAAGTTACGAAGTTAATTAGGTTAAATAAGGTAATAAAATACACTAAGGTTATTACAAAATCGAAGTCGCTGTTAACAGTATCTTATATATAAAATTCTCGTGTCACAGTTTTCGTTTCCATACTCCTCCGAAACGGCTTGACCGATTCTCATGAAATTTTGTGTGCGTATTGAGTAGGTCTGAGAATCGGCCAACATCTATTTTTGATCCCCCTAAATGTTAGGGGTAGTCCACCCCTAAATTTTATTATTTTATTTTAAGGCAAAACAACGTTTGCCGGGACAGCTAGTAATATATATATATATATATATATCTTATTTTATATCTACTAATACACATATTAATATGTCATACCTCTTCTTTCACTGCCTTATCTCAACCGGCAATCAAAACAGAGCATGTGGTGGCTGGAATACGTGAGACTGAGGTACCAAAGGCAGAAGACTACAAAATGTATCTCGGTATATTTAAATTTATCGCGATACAGATTCTCTAAATAATACTTACACTGGATGATAACAGAGTTTGCGATCCAACCGCATTTCTGTCTATCACTCGGCAATAAAGAAATTGGTATACGATCCAATATTAGACTTTTCCTTAACATTATGCACAAACTTATTATCTTTCACATATCTAGTGTAGACATTTTGATTTAAGCTGTCAAAATCAACAGATTTTATTGACGTATAAATTTGAATGTTGCTGTATTGAAATAAATTGTATATATTATTTATCTGTGGTAATATTTTTGATTTTTTGCCCATTGACCAATGTAAAAATTTCTTTACATATACGCGAAGTCATAAAATATAATTTTGCTATTAACAGCGCCATCTAGTTCTAAAGTAAGTTGAGCTTGTGTTATGGATATGTGACAACTGATTCAAAAAGGTTTTTACTTTGAAAATGATATGGATGTTTTTTTTTTGTAAATACATAATATATATCGAAAATACTAACATCGATACAAACAATCACACTCATGAATGCAAATGTTTGTATCGTGCGAGGAAGTGAACCGATGACCATCTGTTATAAAGCGGTGTGCTAAGTATTTATGAATTTACTAACTGTCCCGGCAAACGTTGTTTGGACTTAAAATACAAAAAAAAAAATAGGGGTGGACTACCCCTAACATTTAGGGGGATGAAAAATAGATGTTGGCCGATTCTCAGACCTACTCAATACGCTCACAAAATTTCATGAGAATCGGTCAAGCCGTTTCGGAGGAGTATGGGAACGAAAACTGTGACACGAGAATTTTATATATAAGATATACATTTTGATTTATTTATTTATTTTATTATTTTGATTAAGGATGAGTTTAATTAAATTTTGGTTTGACATGGGTTAACATTAAGATTGTTCAGTGAATATGTCGCTGCACGCGATCTCACCACCGCTGGGCTGCTACTGAAAATCAGTGTTTTGCTGAAGAGTAAATTTTTCACTGAGTAGCTCAACACTTTCGTATCCCTGTGGCACCTAATATGTATTTTAATGTTTATTTTATGTGGAAGTTAAAGTGTTATGTGTTGTTTTTTTATAATTATTTACTATTCTTATGTGTTATTTGAATTTTGTTTGTGTTATCGAGATACGAATAAAGATTTTTACCTATCTATCTATCTATTTATATTAATAAACTAGCTTTTGCCCGCGGCTTCGCTCGCGTAGTAGTAAGTATTGTTATTAATTAGGTGTAGTTTTTGTGGCTTTGCTTTTTGTTGATAATTATGAAATGATTAGATGCTTATGTACTTGTTTAATTATTTATTTTAACAAAAAGACGACATCTTTTATTGTCTTAACAAAAACCGGAAGTGGGTCAAGGTGAAAGAATCATAGATAATAAAAATATAACAGAGAACCCAAAAGTTGTACAGAGTAAGTTACTTTAAATATAGAGATTAATATATTCTAACACTTCCACCAAATTAGATCTTTCCTCCCTCCCTTAAAGAACATACTAATTTAAGTAACAATCAACTTTCAGTAACAATAAAAACTTACACCTATAATTACCATTACTTAACAATTATCTAAATATTCATAGTTTTAACTGCAATAGATAGATAGTTATATTATATTGTTAGAAACAAAAACAGTCCAATTAATGAGAAATTAATTAAGTATATTCAGTTAGTTTTGACATCCCTATTTTAGATCTCATGAGTTTAAACTTTTCTTTAGGCAAAGCTTTTGTAAAAATATCAGCATACTGATTATTGCTACTAACATAATTCAGACTGATGATATTTTCATAATATTTTTCTTTCACAAAATTATACTTAATGTCTATATGCTTACATCTCTTATGGAAATCACTATTTTTAATAACGTTTATTGCACTTTGATTGTCAATATTGATACACACAGAACTTTGATTATATTCACTAATATCACTTAATAACTGTTTTAACCATATCGCTTCCTTTGTGGCTGCACAGGCAGCCATGAATTCAGCTTCAGTTGTGGACAATGCCACAGATTGTTGACGTTGGGTGCACCATGTGACTGCAGCACCATTTTTAAGAAATACATATCCTGTTACTGATCTTCTAGTGTCAGTATCATTTGCAAAATCAGCATCACTGTATCCAATAGATCAGCACTATCTGGATTAGACACATAGCATAGACCAAAGTCTTTTGTTTCTTTTAAATATTTTAATATTCTCTTCACAGCCTTGCAGTGAGATTCATTATAAGAATGTAGGAATCGACTCACCTGACTTACTGCAAACATAATGTCAGGTCTGCTTACAGTTGCAGCATGGATGAGTGATCCGACTACTTCTCTGTAGGGATACTTGCTCTCTAGTGAGCCATCACTTTTCTCCAGTTTGACATTGGGATCAGCGGGAACACTGTTGACATTTGCATCAGTCATATTAAATTTTGTCAACAATTGTTCAATGTATTTGGTTTGATGTATAAAAATACTGTTTTTGATTCTTTCTATTTGCATTCCTATAAAATTGCTAAGTGATGATATTTTTAAACTAAAATTCATTTGAAGATCATTTAATACATCCATCATGACATCTTTGTCTTTGCACAACAGGAGTCCATCATCAACATACAGACAAAGATAACATTTAATATTATTAATTTGTTGTAAACACACTGATCAGCTTTGCTTTTTACAAAACCAAATTTATTAAGGACTGAATTAAATTTTGAATTCCAGCACCTAGGTGCTTGTTTTAATCCATATAAAGATTTAATTAATTTACATACCATGTTTGGTTTACAGTCCAATCCTTCAGGTGGTGTCATGTAGATATCTTCCTTCAGTTCACCATATAAGAAAGCAGTGGTTATGTCAAATTGAGTAATTTCCAAGTTTTGTTGAGCTGCTAGTGACAACAGTAACCGAATTGAATCATACCTTACAGTAGGTGAAAAAGTTTCGTCATAATCAATACCTGCCTTTTGTGAATATCCTTTTGCACAAAGCCGAGACTTATAGCGAGGTCCAGTTGATTCATCTTTGATGCGGAACACCCACTTACATCCAATTACTTTGATATTTGGTTGCTTTTCTACCATTATCCATGTACCATTTTGATGGTGAGATTTTAGCTCACTTTCTATGGACTTTTTCCAGTATTCTGAATCAGTTGAGGCAAGTGCCTCCTTGTAGCTCATGGGAATAGAATTTGATTCATTTTCACTGCAGCAAAGATAGCCTTTTTCTTCTAATTGTTTTGATTCAGAGAATATCTCTTTATTTCTTGGTCTGAGCGTCATATTGGACTGTGGTAGTGACTCAATGTTCATTCTTGGTAAGTAATCACTCTCACTCTCTGTAGTATTATCAGTATCTGAGTAATATTCAGTTGCAGTCCTTGTGGAGTTCAATGTATTATCAGAGCTTTCTGATGCGTGGACATCATTTGATTCAGGTGAGTCACACATTGTATCTGCTAAATCCACTGGAACATAATTTCTTTTCACACTTGATTCTATGAAAACAGCATCTCTGCTTTTGATCACACTTCTAGAGTTTGCTAATACAAATCTGTAACCTTTACTGTTGTCACAATATCCAATAAATATTGTTTTCTGTGCTTTGGCATCCCATTTCCTTCTTTTCTCTTTTGGAAGATGAACCATCGCATCACAGCCAAATGTTCTTAAATGACCAAGCTTCGGTTTACGCCCTGTCCACATCTCTTCAGGAGTTTTATAGGAGAGAGATCTTGTGGGCGTTCTATTATTAAGGTAAGCAGCAGTATGAACTGCTTCTGCCCAATATAATTTAGGTAGGTGTGCATTAATTAGCATACACTTTGCTTTTTCTACTAATGTGCGATTCATACGCTCAGCAACTCCATTTTGTTCGGGTGTGTAAGGCGTGGTTGTTTGATGTACAATACCAGCATGTTTTAAAAATTCAGTGAAATTATGGTTTACATATTCAAGTCCATTGTCAGAGCGTAGACATTTAATTTTACATTCCAATTGATTCTCTACTTCAGATTTAAATTGTTTAAATTTTTCTAATGCTTCAGACTTCTTATTCATGAAATAAATAAACACTTTCTTTGAATAGTCATCTATAAATGTAATGAAATATCTTGCATTTCCTAGTGACATTGTCTCCATTGGACCACAGATATCTGAGTGCACTAGTTCAAGCACTTTACTTGCCCTTGTTCCTTTGTAACGCAAGGGTAGACGTGTTTGTTTGCCTTGCAGACATGTTATACATATTAATTTGTCATTATTTTTCATTAGTGGTACTTCTTCAGCATTTTCAGTGACCCTTTCAAGGTCTTGATAATTTAGATGACCCATTCGTTGATGCCAAAGGTAAAAATCATGTGTATCAACATCGGATATGTATGCCTTGTCACTGTGCACATTTAGCTTGTACATATTGTTGATTAAACTTGCTGTTGCAACTATTTCACTTCTTCTATTTAATATTGCACAGCCCTTATCATTGAATTTTACTTGTCCACCATTATTAATGATCTGACTCACAGACAGTAGATTTGTGGCAAGCTCAGGTACATATAGCACATTTTGAAATAAAATTTTATTAATTTGGTCTTTTCCATTCCTTGTATCTAGACTTAATTGGCCACAACTTTTTACTGCCAAACACTTGTCATTTGCTACTTTGATTGTCTTTATGAGTGGCACTATTTCATTTTGTAATAAGTTATTGTGCTTAGTCATATGCATTGATGCACCAGAATCTATATACCAGGCATCGCTACAACTTGTTGAAGTCATAAATGCAGCGGCATAACTTGAACTTTCTTGGTGAGTAACTTTATTCTTCTTCTTTTGTTTTAATTTACACTCTGTGCTTATGTGGCCATACCTATTACAATTATAGCACCGTGGCCCTTTAGAGAAGTCTTTCTTATATACTTTTTTCTTATAACCGACAGCAAACGCTGAATTGTCACCATCACACATTTTAATATCTTGAAGGATTTTAGCTTTAACAGAGTCAGAACTAATTTTCATTCCTGAGCTTTCAATAGCAATGATCATTGGTTTGTATGACTCAGGTAGACCAGAGAGCAGCAGTGTACCGAGCCACTCATCGTCTACTTTAAACCCAATGTTACGTAGTTTGTGTGCTGTGGTCATTATTCTACTGACATATTCTTCAACATTTTGACATCCAGTTAGTGTCGTTGTACATAAGTCCCTGAGTAAACCCACTCGGCGTGTTAGCCCTGAATCATCGAATGCATTTGCCAAGTTGTTCCAAACTTCTTTGGCAGTCTTGGCTTCTTGAATGTGAACATAATTAACTGAGTCCACCAGTAAGATTATTTTCGATTTGGCCTTTAAATCACGTTTTAAATCAATACAGTTTTCATCAATTACGCAGTCCCACAGTTCCTCGTGTTCGAGATATGTCTGTACTGCAAATCTCCAAGTTGCATAATTGTCACGGCCGGTCAGCTTCTCGATTAATGCCAATGGATTGTTGGAAGTCATTTTCCGGAATAATTTATAACAACACTGGTTATTTTTCAGTTAATGTACATTTGTTACAGACGAACACGTGTATGTGTAGGTTATACTTGAAGGCAAAATTAAGAGTTTTTCTACTTTTCACTTTTAAAAAAACACAGATCAGGACTAGAACTGGGCCAATAACCTTGTTGATAATTATGAAATGATTAGATGCTTATGTACTTGTTTAATTATTTATTTTAACAAAAAGACGACATCTTTTATTGTCTTAACAAAAACCGGAAGTGGGTCAAGGTGAAAGAATCATAGATAATAAAAATATAACAGAGAACCCAAAAGTTGTACAGAGTAAGTTACTTTAAATATAGAGATTAATATATTCTAACACTTTTGTTTAGCGTGTGTAAAAAATTAGAGCCTACAAAATCTGTAACATCCCTTTAGGGGTGGAATTTATCAAAATCCTTTCTTTGGGGATGCCTACGTCATAGTAGCTTATGCATGCAAAGACTCGATCGATTTAAAATAGACAGAGTTTCATACAAACTTTCACCCCCTATTTTGTCTCCTTGGGGGTAGAATATAAATACGGTACATACACCAAAATAACATTTTCTACAATTTTTGTCTGTCTGTCTGTTTGTTCCAGCTAATCTCTGAAATGGCTGGACCGATTTTGCCGGGACTTTTATTGGCAGGTAGCTAATGTAATAAGGAGTAACTTAGGCTACTTTTATTTTAGAAAAAGTTAAATTCCACGCGGACGATGTCGCGGGTACAGCTAGTTATTTATAAATCTGTACAGACGACAAAACTATAAACCCTACTTTTAACTGAAAAAGGTAACGGTAACTTTATATTTCTGAAAATTTAAACATTTTTGTCGTCCATGTTTCTAAGGTTATTACATTTTCACTTCGCTACCACTTTTGCTACACGCCGGAAATGTGAACACATTTTAATTTTCGCCTGAAAGCTGTAAAATCTATTTATTATACGGCAAATATACTTGTGTTTAGTCCACAATCTTTTATAGTTGTTTATCATTAATTGTTATGGGTGAATATGAAGTGCTTTATCCGCCATTACTGCCGTTTAACACTGGCGGGGTATAAGTGGAGGACGAATTGATGGTGATGGTAATAATTTTTTTAATGGATGATAATGGTATGGTCTACCCACTGCGCTAACGGTTTACGCTGGCGGGGCATCAGTGAAGGATGATAAGATGAACATGAGGTCAGGTCAGTTAGCGCATTGTGGCAAATTCACCATGAATTTATCACGATGGTTTCCAGGGGGAACCGCGTGGAGGTCAACCTGACATAATTTCATAAATATCAGTCAAGCCGTTTCGAAGGGGTATGGTAACTAACATTGTGACACTAGAATCTTATATATAACAGTTTTACACATTAGTAATTTCTGATAAGGAATAGACAATATGTGCTATTTATCAGCTGTATTTTGGTATATAAAACAATTCAAATTTTCAAATTTTAATCAACATGTTCTCAATATATTTAGTTCCAAAATATTAGTTACCTAATAATTTCAAATTTAATTTAATGATTAAATTGTATTATATACGGATTATAATCCTTGCTAATATTTTAAATGCGAAAGTAACTCTGTCTGTCTGTCTCGCTTTCACGCCAAAACTACGGCACCGATTTAAATAAAATTTGGTATATATATAGTCTAGACACTCTAGGCCTTGAGAAAGGACATAGACTACTTTTTAATGCGAAGAAAGGGTTGTAAGGGGTTGTAAGGGGAGATGAAACGTTCTATGGAAGTATCGTCATTTTTAAAGCTAGAAGCTTAAAACTTATTTTTTAAGCTTTGGACTATGAATATGACAATCAAAGTTTGTACGAATTTTACCCTTAAGGGGGTAAAATAAAATAGGGGATGAAACGGAAATTCATCATTCGTCCTCTATTCCTTGCGGACGATGTCGCGGGTACAGCTAGTATTAAATAAATAAGCAAATATAATGATAATGTTATCAATAAAATGGAGTAAAATGTCATTATTACACCTATAATTTTAATAATTGGAAAGTTTCACCAAATTACTTCTAAACTTTCTTAATCATTCGATATTATAATAGCTCATTTTCCTTGAAATAGATTTCAATAATCTTGTGATGTTAATTTTGAACGAACGTAATTGCAATCAATTATAGGAATTAAAACACATTAAAAATTCATCAATCTAAGTGAATTGTAAATTCAAAAGCATTGTCACTCTAAAACGACAGTAGTTTAATAAATTACCGTGTTATGATAATTATGTAACTAGTATTATTGCTGTCATTATATAAAACAATAATAATTTAAATATGAACTTAACGCATATATATTTAGAAACATTTTAAACATACAATAGTGTGTAGTATATTTAAATGAACATTTCATCAGTTCTCGATTTAAATTACTTCCTGAACTAGACAAAAAAGAAAAAGCAAAACCAATAGATAGTAATGACGTGTCTAAGTATTTTGTTCAGGAATATGTTTATCGATTGGTCTACTTTCAATTTAGAAAACTTAACAAGATCTGTGCTAATATAGACTCACTCAGATTAAGACACACTCCTACTAGTTACTTCCAATTATTACCCACTATTTTATAGTGTTAGGACCTAATATGTCATTTTTTGTAACTGTCGCTTGTTAGTTATATAGAAAAGATGATTTACGATGCTACTTTAAACTAATTAAGGAATTTTTCTAAACAATAAAATATTTAAATGAGCTGTTATTGCGTATTCCATTTGTTAAACTACTGTTTTTGTTACATTCGTTAAACTATGTGACGACTACGACAGTGTAGTAAGAAAATTACCAAATCAGTCACATATTGTTATGATAAACAGCATTACAAATACAAACTAGCGTTAGTAAAAGAAACTGTTTATGGGTAAAAATTAAAACAAATACACATATTATGTAAATCGTAGTTTATTGCGACGTGTACAAATAAATAAATAATTTATATAACTAGTCAAAACTTCGGTACGGCATGAAAGGGCACGTTTTGGATGACTCGACAGAAAGTTAACGCAATATGAACTTTTTGAAATTAATCCTTTGAAATCTAAATTGCATGAACTTGTCACAAAATAGGCACTACGTTTTTGACGGTTTCGACAGGTTTAATATAGTTGGAAGTAGGCTGCGGAGGTTGGGTATTGGTAAGGGGCCAGAGGTACCGTGTAATCAGGAACTGCAGTGTAGATAAACAGTGGCGCACGATCTTCATCTTTGTACTGTAGACGAGCAGTGTATGCCATCTTATTTAGATCATTCTGTGTATTGTATTGCACTCTCTGCAACTGAGAGCCAGGCAGAAGGACATAGTATGCGCCCTGTTCACTCACCACATCGTTATCTTTAGGCTCTTCCTCATATTTTCCTTTCGTTTCACCTTCACCTTTCTTTTCTCCTTCTTCACCGTTTTTCTTTCCTTCACCTTTGAGTTCTTCTACTTCACTTTCACCTTCACCTTCAGAATCTTCATTCTTTTCCGAATTTCCATTCTCACTTCCCTTTTCGCTTTCCTCGCCATCCTTGCCTTCGCCTTCATTTTCTTCTCCTCTTTTTGTCATAATTTCGTTTCTGCGTGGTACTCCATATTCAATTTCAGGACGAGTCTCGATTCTAAATGGAGCTCCATAGCTGTCATCAGGAACACCATAAGAAGTAGATGGGGGAGCAACTTCCTGCCGAGATGGTAACTTAAATTCTTTAGAAGGTCTATAACCAGCTGCTGGGTATGGAGCTTCTTCAGCCTTCGCTTTGTCTTCGTTTCCTGAATCAGAATCTTCGAGTTCTCCTCTTGCGAATCTGTATTTAGTTTGCCTGTACCGAGGTGGTTCGGCTAAAACCATTGCAGCCAATAGCAAGACACAAATGTAGACCTTCATTTTATTTTGGTGTTTTTACTTCAACCGACCAGAGTCGAATGATGCTGTGCTCCCAAAACAGCACGCTTTTATACATATGTGGCAGACATGACTCGTCTCTAAGGAGGTTTCCGTTTATTCCGGATGTGTCATATCTCCTTCATATTCGATATTCTAGACGAGTGGGCCACGACATTGGCCTCTTAAAGCGACGATCATCGGTTGTGTAATTGATGCCGATTAGGAGCTGTCATTGTTCCCCACGAGTACGTGACCGGAAAATTTAACATGGTGGCGAACTTACGAAAACGCCTAATGTAGCATTTTAATATTCATGACTTTTGGTGAAACCGCTTTCTTTTGCAGTTACTAATTAGGTCTTTGTTAAGGAGATAGATATTGGATCTATTTTGGGTTAATGGTCAAATTGTCTGTAATCACGACTGCAGTGGTGGCGAGGTGTTAGATAATTTAAACACTTGTGTACTATCGTGCTCTATTGGCACTGTGGTATCGTTGAATGCATAATTAATGATATACTCTCCTTGGTACTCTATTAAGGCGTACTAGAATAAACGGCAACGTTTTAGCGCAATGCCTGCTCTTGAATGTTTACTTATTTTATATGAAAGAAATAATTATAGGTAACAAACATAATTAGTACAAATATCAATCTTGTGCATTGTGATTTGAATCTGTTTCCATTGTAACTTCTAGATCATCAACCACTTTATTTCTGTACAATGGAACAGTTTTGTCACGTATCATCATTTATATTAAATGTATAAAGGCAATATATTTCAAATTGATTTCAATTCATTTTTAGTTTATTTTAAACGTTGAATACAAGCTGGAGTAGACAAGTACGCCTCCAATACTGTAGTGTATTTAAATGTTCTAAACAAATGGAATTACAAGAACTTTAGACGTCAAATTTCCTGTTTACGTTCCTAGTCCTTAATAAAATATTTTATAGTAATTTTCAAACGTAGTGGGATGCCTCGCAGCTAGTTGGAGGGACGACATACGTAGGGCTGTGGGAGAAGGACTGAAGATCGTGCCCAGTGGTGTGCCTTGGAAGAAGCCTATGTCCAGCAGTGGATTGCAGTGGGCTGATGACGATGATGAATAAATTATTTTCTATAGCTTTAAATGATACTACTAATGTTACTACTACTTCTAATTGAGAATTTCCATAATGACGATTCTAACATAAACAAAAAATCTGTACTTCTTACATATAACACATAGAGGCGTTATATACATATATACAAATAAATATTAGTTTACATTCAGTGATTGGCGAATAGAAAATAGAATAATATTTACATATATATTTCGTAGGTGAAAGTAAAACAAGCGCTCGTTTGATTTATGGATAAAGTTATCAAAAATCTCGTTTAATTACAAAGACGGGACGGTGTGGCGTCACGTGACATGTTCACAGCTAACCCGGCACGGTCGTGCATGTTTATTACACGCACAAAATGGCCGTTTGACGTTTAATTACGCGGGAAAATGGCGGACGCCGCCGCCTTTTATCTGTTTTGTAAAAATAGATATTTCAAAAGAAATTATTATTGTATTTTTTATTCTGTATCCGTATAAAACAGAGCCTAACAGAGATTTAATGAGAACCGTATCGTATACGTGATGAAATTACAAAAAAATGCTTTGAACTTTCCAGATTGTTTTTACACAAATTGGAAAACTCTCATTCGGTGATTCCGACTGGTGTTTCATTTATAATATGATAAAAATAACAGAAATGCATATTTATTTGTACATATATTATTTATACTTTCGATTTTAAAGAAATTTGGGAATTTTATAAAAGTGTGTGTTATTATTTTAGTTATACATTGATGATGTCTAATGATGATTGATGACGATGATCTCTAATATATAGAAACTAGAGTTGCATAACAATTATCAGACATATCTATACTTAACTGTCTTTAGTTTCTAAGGGTAGCAATAAAACCTAAGTTTTTCAAACCAATGTTTTAGTAGAAAAATCTTAAAATTAGGAGACTATATTATCTGATTGCATTCTTAGAATGAGTGCGTAGCGGTTTCTATGTTGATTATAGCATGACTTTTACTTGTTATTGTGTAATTAATTATTTCAAATAAAATATATTCAAAAGGGCAATACACAAGTTTCCTGCTGATTCTTCTTGTGAGTAGATTAAAAAAAATATGACTATTCAAATGTGCTTGTATTGGGTTTATTTGAATAAAGATTATTTCTATTTTTAATTTCACTGACCTCACTCACTCTTTAACTGAAATATAACTTACAAAGCAAGCTGCTTGGCGGTAGATATAGATGAGATTACTGAACCTATGCCGATGACTTTTCGCAAGGTCTATATAGATACTCGATTGAGTAATACATCGCTCGAGAATCCCATGGGTTTTACATCTAGATGGTAATGGTATAGATAACATATTTAATATATAAACAAAAAAGTAAGAAGTTTGACATTGATGTTCAAGTTTAGGGTATTTAATCAGCTCACGATCACTGAAGGTTTCTTGACTTTGTGATCCGTGTTGGTTTGTTTAGGATTCAGTCGCCTCGCGTCCTAATAGAATTCGACAAAACAAAGGTCGTTGTCTTACAATAACACCTACAGCTTGTTTCCTTGTTATTTTTATATGTTATGTTGTTAGAGAACTATATATTGAAATTCGGTGGTATAAAGTAATATCTTTAAGACCTTGATGTTTGTTATAGGTATCATTATGTGCTCCTGAATATGATTCATATCAAAGTTCAAAGAGATCTTGTGATCTTCGTTATCATTGTTTAATACATAATAAGATAATAGAATAAAACAGTAACTTTATTTTATTTTACTTACGTAATTAGCCTATCGTGGTAAATTGACCACGAATTTGTCACGATAGTTTCCAGGGAGAACCACGTGGACGTCAACCTGACATTGCTAGTAATAGAGTTCACATTACTAACAATACCTTCCGTTTATTTTTTTATTTATTCTTTTGCACACAAATATGTACACATGGCGGACTTAATGCCAGATGGTATTCTGTATCAGACAACCGTCGCGTTGATCAGAGATAATAACTTTAAACTGCACAACTTTAATAATTAATACATATATATACATATACTAGCTTTTGCCCGCGGCTTCGCTCGCGTTAATTTATCCCCTTAGGGGTGGGATTTATCAAAATTCTTTCTTAGGGGATGCCTACGTCATAGTAGCTTTATGCATGCAAAGTCTCAGCCCGATCGGTTTAAAATTGACAAAGTTTCATACAAACTTCCATCCCCTATTTTATCCCCTTGGGGATAGAATTAATCAAAATCCTTTGCGGATGCGGATGGCTACATCATAACATCTACCTGCATGCCAAATTTCAGCCCGATCCGTTCAGTGGTTTGGGCTGTGCGTTGATAGATCATATATACTTGTATAAAAAATATAATTACATAAATAAACAAAATATATAAGCTTATGGATTTTAAACAAAGAAAATTCCCTACCGCCGGATAAATCTGTACTAATTCATATTTAGCTTGCTTGAGAAAGATTTTTTTAAATTCCCACGTGAACTTTCCCACGTGATAAAAATTCATTTGGAGCGATTCAACGTCATCATCGCAGCCCGGAAAACGTCTCCGTGCGTCCACGTGCTGGAAATAGGCCTCCCCCAAAGACCACGACGATCGGTCCTGCGCTGCTCGCATGCAACGCCTTCCAGCGATCATGACCAGATCGTCGGTCCATCTTGCTGGAGTCCTTCTCCCGCTGCGTCTTCCGGTCCGTAGTCGCCACTTTGACGAGCGATTCATGCAATTAACTAATAACTAGTATATGTTATATATATATTAAGTTATACCACAGAGTATATATGCTGTGTAATAATGTTGTCAAAACAAATCCGGATTGGTAGATTCAAATTCAAATTCAAATTCAAAAATCATTTATTCATGTAGGACATTTTAGCCGCTTATGAACGTCAAATTTTTACATTATAATTTTATTTCTTTCCCTACCGTCCAGTTCGGTATATAGATCCAATTGAGAAGAACTGGCAAGAAACTCAATTGTACTTTTTATATACAATGTATATTTATATAGGTGTCTATGTCTAACATAAATGAAAATTTGTCAACTATTGCCATGCACACTCGTCATTCAAGTAATCGTTTAGTGAGTAATAGGCCTTGCTCAGTAAATATGATTTAACAGATGTTTTGAATTTATTTAAGGGTAATTCCAACATATCCTTTGGTATCTTATTGTAAATTTTAATTTGTAATTTGTAAAAGATCTCGTATTCGCCGATTGTATCCGCAGCCCGCACCAAACGTATTAATATCTGATACGTTAGCTTGTCACTTGCACGTGCCTCCTCCTCTATATCTATGGAGCGAGGATAATATGATTGTTTCATAAATAAGAGAGTTTTCTTTCATCCAATCGATTATTGCGTTGTACATTCGGATTCCCACTGAATAAGTTATAAGTTCTGTTATGAGTAAAATTATAGGATTATTGAATTGATTCTACGTTTTATGTATGCATTCTATTCTACATTCACAACCAATATATACCTATGTTGATCACAAATTGATTTGATTTGATTTCATTAGATATCTGAACTATTCTTTTCAAGTTTAATCTATCTTATTTATTAAATATGTAGATAGTATTTTTTTAACAAAACGCTATATGTTTGGTTAATAAATTATCATCTATATAATTGACAAATAAAAATTTTTAGGCATAATTAACGTGGATTTACGTACGTCGGTAAAGGGTCCCTTAAACCTACACCCGGGTCACAAGTCCCGGGAACTGCTCGGAGTTTCCCTCTCAGCCAAACGATGGATCCGGCACCCGCACGGTGAATATACGGAATGTTAAGAAGTTCGTATCACACAAAATTGCTAAAATTTATAGTATCTGTAAAATGAATTGATGAAAAATTTAATATTCCGTGTTATGATGATGTTGGAATATAATTTATCACGATTTCAC